CCCCAAAACCCCAAAACCCCAAAACCCCAAAACCCCTTTTAACACACCTGTTTTGAAACATGTTGAAGATAAGAGATCTAACCCTTCCTGATCAACGAGAGGCCGAATGGAGTTGGGTAATACATTGGGTGAAACTCTGCAGTGGGTCCTTTAGGAGTTTCTATTCGAGGAACTACAGTCACTCCTCCAGGTAGGAATGTACTAGTGATGAGAAAGGAAAGACTTACCTATAATGATCCAGTGTGTCATCTCTTCGCAGTCTTGTTCCTCTTCGTAAATTAGGAATTGTTGATTCATACATATCATTTACCTTAGCTCTCCCAACTGTGACAGAATTATAGTTTGGATAAGTTGGTTCAAATTTGATCATGTCTGTTGAAAAGAATCCTTTCTCAAGCCAAGGTGTTTTCTGATGCCTGCCATAGTTAATATCTCTGTTCATGTGTATCCGGTTAATATTCTCGCTATTTCTATGTTGGAATCCTACATCTGTCCCTTTGCCTAGGCCAGCTGCTGTTGATGCAAACCCATGTTTTGGGATTAATTTCAAATCATTCATCCTCTATAAGAATTTACCAAAAAGCTATACATCATCGAGACTTATCCGGTTTCTGGTTTGTTGATTATCAGGCTTCTGAGTGTAACTTGTAAAAATTTCTGGCTGCTGATGTTTGTGTAAATCTTCTTGAGAATAGTTCCTAAGCCTGTAGAGAGGTTTACCTCTTCGAATGACCATTTTCTTCTCAGAAGACTCATAAAGAAGCATACTGCCAGGCACGTGACTCCTATCAGTAGAAGGCCCTTTTGTGATCCTCACAGAAGGAGTCTTCTTCAAAATAGATTGTAATGGGGTAGCTTTCATGCTCTTCTGGCTCTGACCCAAATTTTTCATAGGGCTGGGAGCCAAATGGTTCTCTCTAGAAGGTTTCTTGAGGATTGAAGATAACTTTGTTCCCAATAAGTTTGATTGAGACAAATCTCTCTCAAAGCTATATTTTAACAATCAGAATGAAATCTTGGAGCATCAATCGAAAATTCAGAAAATTATCATCAACTAGAATTGAGGGTTTGAAAGACTCATATTTTAATAATTTTTTTATGATTTTGGGAAGAATTGGGCAAAATAATTTTAAATGCCTTGATATTTTACAGATGTAAATCTACAAAATTTGGCTCTTTATTAACGTTATTTTGCAAACCATTATCAGGGATCGAACTAAATAACATTTAACTTACTCTGCTTCACTGGAAGAGATGTCAGAATCTGCTTCGAATAACTGTAGAGCTTTGCTTCCTCTATCTAAACTCAAAAGTTGGTGACCTTTTCAATGTTAAAAAATTTAAGCTATAGATTTTCCCTTACCTTTCTCAGCAGGTTTAAACTTGCTTTTCTGTTTGGAAAATGCTGACTTCTTCATTTTCAATTTATTCAATATTTTTATTAAAGTGAGGGGTTTTGGGGTTTTGGGGTTTTGGGGTTTTGGGG